TCTGGCTAGAGGTTTGTCCACTTTTCTTGATATTTTCAAAGAACCAGCTCCTGGTTTCATTGATCTGTTCTATTGTTTTAAAGTTTCTATATCATTTGTTTCTGCTCTAATCTTTCTTATTTCCTTCCTTCTGCTGGTTTGGGGCTTTGTTTGTCATTCTTTTTCTAGCTTCTTTAGGTATAAGGTTAGTTTGTTTATTTGAGCTTTTTCTTCTTTCTTGAGTAAAGAAGGCTCGGCCTTTCTTGCTATAAACTTCACCCTTAGAACTGCTTTTGCTGCATCCCAAAGGTTTTGGACCATCATGTTTTAATTTTGGTTTGTTTCCATGTACTTTTGAGTTCTTCTTTGATTTCTTGGTTGACCCATTCATTATTTAGTAGCATGTAGCTGTGGTTGATTTCTAGTTTCATAGCTTTGTAGTCAGAAAAGAAGCATGATATGACTTTGATCTTTTTGAATTTGCTGAGACTAGTGCTCGCTTCAGAGCACATGTACTAAAACTGAATTTGCGGAGACTTGTTGTGACCTAATATGGGATCTTTCTGGAGAAAGTTCCATGCGTACTTGAAAAGAATGTGTATTCTGCTGTTTTAGGATAGAATGTTTTGAATATACCTGGGAAATCCCTCTGGTCCGGCGTGTCATTCAAAGCCATTGTTTCCTTGTTGATTTTGTTTGGATGTTCTGTTCATCGATGGAAGTGGTGTGTTAAAGTCCTCTACTGTTTCATTACTATAGATTAGTTTCTTTATGTTTGTTATGAACTACCTTATGTATGTGGATGCTCACATGTTGGGTGTATAAGTATTTATAATTGTCATATTTTCTTGTTGGATTTCCCCCTTTATTATTATATAGGGTCCTTCTTTGTTTCTTTTAGAGTCTCTCTTTTTTTTTTTTAACATTCTTTCTCCTGATTCACTTTTATTCTTTTTAAAAGAAGATTTTATTTATTTGTTTGTTTGTTTATTTTAGAGAGAAGAAGAGACAGAGTGCATGGGCATGAGCAAGGGGAGAAGCAGAGGGGGAGGAAGGGGAAAAAGTCTTGAGCAGACTCTGTGCTGAGCAGGGAGCCTGACATGGAGCTCAGTCTCATGACCCTGAGATCATGACCTGAGCCAAAACCAAGCGTCAGATGTTTAACTGACTGAGCCATTTTAAAGTCTATTTTTTCTTTTTTCTTTTTTTTTAAAATTTTATTTATTTATTTGACAGGCAGAGATCACAAGTAGGCAGAAAGGCAGGGAGAGAGAGAGAGGAGGAAGCAGGCTCCCTGCTGAGCAGAGGGCCCGATGCGGGGCTCGATCCCAGGACCCTGGGATCATGACTGGAGCCGATGGCAGAGGCTTTAACCCACTGAGCCACCCAGGTGCCCCAAAGTCTATTTTTTCTGAAATAAGTATTGCTACTCTAGCTTTGTTTTGACATCCATTTGCAAGATAGATGTTTCTCCACTCTCTCACTTTTAATCTGCCAGTGTCTTTAGGTCCAAAAGGAGTCACTTGTACACAGCATATACATAGGTCTTTCCTTTTTAATCCATTCTGTGACCCTGTGTTTTTTAAAGTAGGCTGCATGCCCAGCATGGAGTCCAATGCAGGGCTTGAACTCAGGACCCTGAGATCAAGACCTGAGCTGAGATCAAGAGTTGGATGCTTAGGGTGCCTGGGTGGCTCAGTTGGCTAAGTGTCTAACTTCAGCTCAGGCCATGATCCCAAGGTCCTGGGATCAAGCCCCACATGGGGGTGGGGGAGTGTCCCTGCACAGCGGGGAGCCTGCTTCTCCCTCTCCCTCTACTACTCCCCCGCTCATGCTCTCTCTCAAATAAATAAATAAAATACTTAGGAAAAAAAAACAGTTGGAGGCTTAACTGACTGAGCCACCCAGGTACCCCACACCCTATGTCTTTTGTTTGGAATGTTTAGTCCATTTACATTCAAAGTAGATGATTATTATTATTATTATTTTTTAAAGATTTTATGTATTTATTTGACAGAGAGAGCACAAGCAAGGGGAGTGGCAGGCAGAGGTAAAAGGAGAAGCAGGCTCCCCACTGAGCAGGGAGCCTGATGGGGGGAGCTGAATCCCAGGACCAGGGGATTATGACCTGAGCCAAAGGCAGACGCCTAAGGACTGAGCCACTCAGTCAGTCCCTAAGTAATTATTGATAGATAGTATTTATAATTATTTTGTTACTTGTTTTGTGGTTGGTTGTCTCCGATCCTTTCTTCTCTTTCTCTGTTTCATGGTTTGCTGGTTTTCTTTAGTGATACACTTGGATGCCTTTCTCTTTTCTTTTTCTGTGTCTACTGGTGGTTTCTGATTTGCGGTTACTAGTAGGTTTTTATATAATATCTTCCGCATATAACAGTCTCTGTTAAGTTGATGGTTGCTTAGGTTTGAGCTCTATGTTTTGAAACCAGTTTAGTAAGTCCTTTCCTAAGAGCCCCTCAAGGGCTGCCCGGATCTGGGAACCCTGAACCTTCAGTGATTCCGAGACAACAGCTGGGGTGATAAACGTATAGTTGGGAACTTTCTTGCAGAGTTTGTCGTATGTTGTTTTGTCAAAGAAGTCTAGGTTATTAAACTTGTTCTGGACTTTGCCTTTGGGCCACTTCCTTTCGGCCTGGATTTGTTCCCGGGGTCTTTGTCTTTCGTGGCCTACTTTCTGGCACTAAAATCACTTTATGTCCTTCAGTCACAGAGATAGCTTCAATTAATAATGTCTCATAGGAAGGTATTAAGTGCCTTCCAGTGGAAATTCTCTAGTTCAAGGTCCTCGGAGTAGTTGCTGGGAGGCGTTCACTGGTTTTTGCCGTAAGGCCCAATCTAAACTCCCTGTGGGGCTACTGCATTGTTTGTCCCCATCAGCGCTTGTGGACTAAGAAAGAATTCCCCGAGAATGTGAACAAAAAGGCATTTATTTGAGCAATTAGACTTGTGATTCGGGAGACACAGATTCAGGTAGAAATCTAAGTTATGTTCCAAGGAAAACAAAGAGAGGGGCAAAAGCCTTACAGTGTAGCTCTCTTTCAGGTCCCCCAGGGAAAATGGGGCCCGAAACTACGTTAACTGGGATTGTTGGGTTCATACGCACAGGAGGGATTGACAATTGTTAAATCATTTTGGCTCCTTTCAAAGTGAAGTTGGGGATGACTGGGGGACAGGGGCAGGAGGGGGCCCATGGTGAAAAGTTAAGCCCAGGCTGAGGGCTTGCAGCTGGCTGAAAAGTTCAAAAAAAGTTCATGGCTTCTTCAATGAGTATGTGCATAAATTCTTCCTCCCTGATGGCCTCCTGACCCTATTTTTAAAAGAGACTCTTATCTAGGCTGGCTCGCTCTATTCTGAAATCTCTTACACGCTCCAGCTCCCGTTCTGCACCATGGGCTCCGGCAATCTTACTGATTCCCATTGAGCATGTCCAATTAAACATTGCTTTGAAGGGCAGGCTTCCACGCCTTCTGGGTCACGCTGTTGGGCAGAGGAAACATTCCCCAGTCAGTTACAGTGTCCATCTCCACAATACAATTAGATTAAAAAAAAAAATGCAACCACTTCACATAAAGCCTCTTCAAACACAGCAATTCCCCTACAAACTTTCACCTTAATTTTATCAGCCCTTAGGTAGGGGTGGAAAAGTTCTCCCTTCTCCCCTTCTTGCTTCTTTGGCTGGTCTGATAAGTAAATTAATACAAGACCAATCAAGAGGAGAAAAACACAAGTTTAATTACGTGTATACCTCCCTTATACATGGGACAGACCAGGAAAACTGAGTAACTCCCTGCCCCCTCCCCCAAAAAGATCAAAGCCATCCCTTTAAATACCACCTTCAGCTAAAGACAAAAGAAACAGAGCACAGGATACTTTGGTATAGGGTTCTTTTTTTTTTTTTTTAAAGATTTTACTTATTTAACAGAGAGAGAAAGAGATCACAAGCAGGCAGAGAGGTAGGGGAGCAGAGCCCGATGCGGGGCTCGATCCCAGGACCCTGAGACCATGACCTGAGCTTAAGGCAGAGGCTTAACCCTCTGAGCCACCCTGGCGCCCCTAGTGTAGGGTTCTTATGCACAGTTAAGTCACCATCTTCTCTGTGGATAAGAATTTCTAGAGATTGAGGGGCTCCCTGCTCAGCGGGAGCCTGCTTCTCCTCTCCCTCTCCCCCTGCTTGTGTTACCTCTCTCGCTGTCAAATAAATAAATAAAATCTTAAAAAAAAAGAATTTCTAGAGATTGAGTCATAACCCTCGTCCTGGTAAGGTAACAAAGACTCTTTTGCAAATGGATATTTCCCTTATACATGTAAATGTCTCTTACCAAATGTAACCTCTATTCAATTTTCAGAGTTTCACCTGTGTCTGCTGTTTCTTCAAAGTAAGTAGCTTAAAATAATCCCCATGCCAAAGAAGCACATTTTGGGGTGGAAAAGCGTGCTCCCCTTCGCTTGCATTTCTAACCGTAGCCTCCGTTAAGACTTCATCCGCAGGTTTTGGTACTACAGCTCTGTATCTGTATGGCTTCTGTTTCAAGGAGTCCTAGAAACTTCTCCATCCCCCGACCATTTTATCTACTCTGGTGCTGAAGGCCTTTGGCTCCTCAGAGACGGACCCAGCCACGGGACTCTGGCCCTTTTGTCAACCTTTTTTTTTTTTTAAAGATGTTATTTTTCAGTAATCTCTATGCCCAACCTGGGGCTTGAGCTCACAAACCCCAGATTTAGTCGCAGGCTCCAGTGACCAAGCCAGCCAGACGTCCCCCGCCCCCCCACCCCGCCCGGGCCCAGGGCTTTTGTCAACTTTTAACTTGATTAATTTGCCTAACCATTGATCCATGGGATTGCTGGTCAGGTTTCTTATAGGAATCTCTACCTCCTGACTTTTTAAATTGCTTCTAACTGGGGTAAATAAAGCAGAATTGTTTGAGGCCCTTTGATATTGGGACACTTGTGGTGGTGGTGGTGGGGGGTCCCTTCCGCCCTCCCAACCTTTGGTAATAGCTTTGGTATTGCTACCTTCGGTAGTGCTGTATTAAAACCTCTGCTTTAACCCCCTCAATGTCTGTTTCATTCATCCCATCTCTTACTAACCATCTAAAGATTTCCACCCTGCTGGGACAAATCCCGTGACTCTCCCCCGTTTTGCTCCTAAATTATTTGCTTTCTTCACCCCACTTCTAAACAACTGTTAAAAAATTTTCCACCTGGTGGGGGAAGAGTCCACGGACTGTGCCCTCGGAATCTCCCCCATTCACTTGTTAATGACCCTAATGTTCATTAGCATCTGTAAGACCCGGGAGGGGAAGCTGAGACTCCAGATTCAATAAGGCTTCCGGAGCTGTTTTTCAGTTTTGCCACAATAAGGTTGTCTTCGGTGCCCCGTGAAAGAGGGCCCCTTAATCACAGCATTTATCTTGACCTGGGGAGTGAGCTGCGAGTCCTGGATCAAACCAGACATGCTCCTCCGCTCGGCAGTACTCAAAGACCACGGACGCAGCTCCTAAGGAAATGATTCTCATAATTCATTTTGGTAAAGGCTCTTCTGGAAGCTGAGGGCACCCCGATCTACAAACGGAAACAACCCCCTCTCCCTTCAACCCCCTCCCCCCAGTTTCAGTCGTTTCCCGGCTTTGCCCATCCCCCACCTGGGTTTTTACCTTGGGGGCGGCTTTGAGGCCGGGGGCTGAAGCTTAGACTGAAATCTGAGCTTGGGCTAGCACCAGAGCCCGAGCCGCATTCTCTCTGACTTTTTGTTTAGCTAGTACAGATGACAATCACCAAGGGATTGAAGATTTGGCCTTTTATTACTTCGCTTTCTTCTTAGCTTCTCATTCTTTCCTTATGCATTCAGTGAACCAACCGCCTGCGAGTTGGATGCATTTTTAAATTTCACTGGTAATTTTTATCTTTAGTAACTGAGCACCGCATAGCTTCGGCTCTAAACCTTAAGTGACCACGTGGCCACCCCGGAATCAAACCTGCCTCATCCCCACCCCCACCCCCTTATCCTTCCCTCTCCAAACCACTTGTTTCTTGTAGCCAAGGGCCATTCTTAGCAAATCCCACGTATCTGGTACCAAACTACGTTGGGTTCCTGGACCCAATTCCAATGCGGGGGCGGGGGCGCTTCTCACACCACAGCGGTCAATTCTGGTTCCGTTTACCCGGAGATGGCCCCAGGCTCTGCAGATTAAGGGTTCAGTCCTACAAGACTCCCCCCACCCCCACCCCGCCGCCCTCGCCCCAGCCCGCCACAGACACACTTCAGATGGCAGTCACAAGCTCAGATTACCTGTACTTCTGACCATCTGGCTACAAACCAGAGATTCTCACGACCCCTCCTTAGGCTCCATTAATTTGCTAGAGCAGGTCACATAACTCAGGAACATTTTTGTTACTAGAGTACCAGCGTTTAAAAGAAAGCCACCGGCTCCAAATTGTATCCCATAGGGTTATGACCCCAAGTCAGTAAACCAAGACTTAATACCTAACCCTAACTGCAGTTTCAACCGCCTGGTAATGTAGCCTTTAACCAGTCAACTTGGGAATTTCCTGGTCAGCAATAGGAAATGTACTGAGAGACCCCTTCCATTCCCCGAAGGCAGGTGATCTTGCCTAAAACCATGGAGTCTTTGCTATTAATTTCCTTTTTCCCACTCCCTCTCTACCTTTGAAGACTTTTCCGTTTCTGTAGTCCCTCGGACTTGCTAGATGGGTTGCTGTCCAATTCAGGAGTCAATTAATAAAGCCAATTAGATCTTCAAAATGTACTTGGTTGAATGTTTTTTTTTAATTTTTGTGTTTTTTTTTTAAGATTTTATTTATTTGTTTGAGAGAGAGAGAGAGAGAGAGAGAGAGAACGAGCTGAGAGAGGGCAGAGGGAGAGGGAGAAGCAGGCTCCCCGCTGAGCAGGAAGCCCAAAACCAAAGCAGGGCTCAATCCCAGGATCCTGGGATCATGACTAGAGCCGAAGGCAGACGCTTAACTGACGGAGCCACCCACACGTCCCTTTGTTGTCATTTTTACTGAGAGCTTTTTCTTTTATTTTTTAACTTAAAAAATTGGGATATAGTTGACATATAACATTGTGTAAGTTTAAGGTGGATAATGTGTTGATTTGATACATTTATATATTGCAGTATGATCACTCCTGTAACATTAGCTAATACCTCCATCCTGTCGCAGTTACCCTTTCTTTATGGTGAGAAGATTTAAGATCTACTCTCCTAGCAGTATTCAAGGATACTGATGTGGGGAACAGAGGCAAAAGAAAAAAAATAAATTTCTTTACTACTTACAGCCCACTGACAAGTCCTTGAGACAGGCAGAGCGACCTTCCTCTAGGTTAATACTTAGCTAAGGGCAAAAATCACCTTAGCATCATCCCAACCCCCCAGGATCCTGTAAATCTCCTTAACAGAAAAATTCCTTTGGAAACTTCCTTTATCTCTACCCCCTAAGATGTATCTTAGCAGTCATCCTCCAAGCATAGGCTCGCCGATATCCAGCTCGCCGATATCCATCTGAAGGGTCTCATGACTAAGGTTGAACTAGACAGTAGTAAATGACCTTATCTTCAACGGCGGCCCCTCAAGGTCTGGCAAACCTTGCTTCCAAATTCCTTAGAGATTTACACTATCCCTAACTCCCTCCCAACTTGAAAGTGTATAATCAGCCACTCCTCACAACCCCAGTGCAGCTCTTTCTGCCCATGGGGCCTGTCGCCATGCTTTAATAAAACCACCTTTTTGCCCAGAAGACATCTCAAGAATTCTTGCTTGACCTTTCACTCCTGAATCCCCGAATTTTCACATCAGATATGATACCCTTAGCTATATTCATCGCGCTGTGCGTTAGATACCCAGAACTTATTTATTTAAGAGTTGCAGGTTTGTCCCCTTAAACAACATCTCCCCAACTCTCTCACCCAATCTGCTGTCATTTAAATGGGTGTTCCCCTAGAGCTAATGCTTTGTTTCTCTCTGGTTGCTTTCAACGTATTTTCATTGTCTTTAGTTTTCAAAAGCTTAGTTATGATATATCTTGATGTGAATTTGGGGTGGGTTTATCCCATTGAGATTGCCTCAGCTCCTTGGATCTGTAGGTTTGTGTCTTTTGACAGATTTGGAACATTTTGGCAGTTATTCAAGTGTTCTTTTGGCCTTGCTTTTTGTCACCCTTCTGGAACATCTACGATATGAATGCTAGGTGCTTTTTTTTTTTTTTTAAAGATTTTATTTATTTATTTGCTAGAGAGAGAGAGTGCGCAAACACAGGCAGACAGAGTGGCAGGCAGAGGAAGAGGGAGAAGCAGGCTCCCTGCCGAGCAAGGAGCCCAATGTGGGACTCGATCCCAGGACACTGGGATCATGACCTGAGCTGAAGGCAGCTGCTTAACCTGCTGAGCCACCCAGGCATCCCGAATGCTAGGTGTTTTGTTACTGTTTCTCACTTCAGTATTTCCTTCCTTCCTTCCTTCCTTCCTTTCTCTCTCTCTCTTTCTTCCTTTCTTCTTTTAATTGACAGAGAGGGAGAGAATGAGAGAGAACACAAGTAGGGGGAGTGGGAGAGGGAGAAGCAGTCTGCTCACTTAGCAGGGAGCACAGTGCGGGATCATGACCTGAGCTGAAGACAGATGCTTAAGGACTGAGTCACCCTGGTCCCCCATCAGTTCAATATTTTCAATCAGTTTTCTCTCTGTTGTTCAGATTGGGTTAATTCTATTGATTAGTTTTCAAATTTATTGATTCTGTATTCTGTCATCTCCACTCTACTATTGAGGCCATGGTGGTGGGGGGCGAGGGAGGGGAGGACAACAAGCCCCAGAATGGAGTCATCTGTGCTAAACTCATATCACCAAATAGAGACTTAGTTCCTAACTTAACTGCAGTTTCAGTCTCTCCCAGGAATGTAATATAAAACAGTCTAGAATTTCCTGGTCAGCACTAATGAGGTAATTACTTGTAGACCTCTGTCACCCCTCAAAGGAAGGTGACCTTGCCTGAAACAATTCACTCCTTGCTAGTAACTTCCTTGTTCTGCCTTCTTCTACCTATAAAAATCTAATGTTTTGTACAGCTCCTCGGAGCTGTTTTTTATTGCATAGATGGGATACTGCTAGATTCATTAATGATTGAATAAAGCCAATTAGAGGTTTAAAGGTACTCAGTTTAATTTTGTTCTTTAAAAAGCCCATCCAGTGAGATTTTTATTTCTTTTATTGCATTTTTCAGTTCTATAATTGCCATTGGATTTAAAACAACAACTTCTATTTCTTTGCTAAGATTTTTCTTGTTTTTTCATTTGTTCCATGAGAACTTGCAGATTTTATAACTGTTGAAACATTTTGATGATGGCGGCTTTAAAATCCTCAGCAGATAATTGGAACATCTGGGTCATCTCCGTATTAGCACCAGGTTTTCTTTTCTCATTCAAGTTGTGATTTTCTTTGTTCTTGGAATGATGGAGAATTTTCTATTGTATCCCAGGCATTTGTCTATGATGTTAGGAGACTCTGGGTCCTATTAAAATCTTTTATTACCCTGTTTAGGTTTAGGATGTGGGCTTTGACCTAGTTTTTGTGCTGTAGTTCTAATAGAAGGTTTTTTAAAAAATATTTTATTTATTTATTTGCCAGAGGGAGAAAGCACAAGCAGGGGGAGCAGCAGGCAGAAGGAGAAGCAGGCTCCTCACTGAGCAGGGAGCCTGATGCAGGACTTGATCCCACAACCTTGGGATCATGACCTGAGCCGAAGGCAGACACTTAACCAACTGAGCCACCCAGACATCCCCCAATGGAATCTTAATTTTCAGAAAGTTTGTGGTGTAATTTTCATCGGCTTGGTCTATCTGGTGTCTCTGGGGCTTCCATTTGTCTCTGCTGGTTCTGCCTGAGGGGGTGGGAAAGATTTCTACAGGCCAGACTTCTGGGGTCTCTCAGTGGTAGAAGGATGTGATGAGCTCCTCTGATCATTGCTTCATGGCTGCCCAGGTGTCTCTGTGCAGGGAAGGGGAATCTTTGGCCAGCACGTTCAAAGTGGCACCTTGGGGCATGATGCTTGTTGTGTCTGAGCCCCTTTTGCTGCTTCTGCCTGCTTGCCCCAGTACCCTGGTAACATGAAGGATTTTCCAAGTCTGGTTGCCTGGTTGGGTTCTTCTTGCTGATTTCATGCACTCGCCTTGTGCCTTCTATTGGGGGAAGGGCATCTCAGGTCTTGGGGGCTTTCAAGGGAAGGGGAGTTTTCCAGGACTGGTGTCTTGCCGTGGCTGCCTCCCTCTTACAGTTTCCCCCTGCTTGCTGCAGTGTTGGTGGGGGAGGGCAGTCTGGGGCCCAATGGAGAAAGAAAGAACTTCTCAGGGCCACTTATTGTAAGAAGGCTCCTAGTCCATCCCCTTGTGGTTACTGGGTTTGCCTCATGTTGCCAGAGGGCCTTCCATTTGAACCTCCTTAAGCTGCCTCATGTTCCTAGGTTGGGTGTTAGAAAATGCTTGGCCTGAGTCGCCTTCTCCTGGGATGGAGGATGGAATGTAAGATACCTTGAAGTTGTATTGTTCCTCCAGTCCTGGGATCCTAAATGAATTCACCTTCTTGGGAGCCTGGTGGTTCAGTGGGTTAAGCATCTGCCTTCGGCTCAGGTCATGATCCCAGGGTCCCAGGATCGAGTCCTGCATCTGGCTCCCTGTTCAGTGGGGAGCCTGCTTTTCCTTCTATGCTATCTCTCTCTGACGAATAAATAAATAAGATCTTTTAAAAAACAAACTCACTTTAATTTTTTTTTAACCACCCTTCATAGTTTTCTCTTGATGCTCTCCTGTTTCATTTCTAGGGTTGATAGTTGTGCTTAGCAGGAGGGAACAGTGAGAAACGGGTCTCTGCTATCTTGTTGTGACTGGAAAACTCTATTTTTTAACCATTAACACCTCTCAGGGCTGACCTCAGACCCAAGCTTCTGTTAATTCTTCCACCATCCTTGCTACATTGGTCTGTCCTTGAAGGTGGGCTTCTGTCAACAATCCTTCACCGTTTCCCATCTTTTATATATCTTCAACCCTGGCTTCTGTGAACTCTTCTACCATCCACACCTACCTGGTCCACAACTCAAAACCATGCGTCTCTAACTCGACCACCATCAGTGGCATATTGTCTAGAATTATGTCATTTGACATGGTAGACATGAGCCACATGTGGTTATGGAATACTTAAAATGAAACTAGTGAGATTGAGAATTGAATTTTAAATGTTATTTATTTGAATTAACTAAACATTTATTTTATTTTTTAAAAAGATTTTATTTATTTATTTGACAGAGAGAGAGAGATCACAAGTAGAACAGCAGGCAATGAGAGAGAGAGAAGCAGGCTTCCTGCTGAGCAGAGAGCCCGATGCGGGACTCCATCCCAAGACCCTGAGCTCATG